AGTCCCGTGTTGGGTGTAGAGATCACCTAAAATAAATAAAGTAAAACAAAATCTGTCTGCGGTAACAATCAATGATTCCCAAAAGAAACGGCTAAGTGGGAAAGAAAACAGCAGTAGCTCCAAATCATCCAGTAGGAGTTCATTTGTGCATTTAAAATGTTTTCTTGGAGCACCATCTCCATCAGCAGGTCTCAGAAAGGGGCAATATCCACCGACCAGGGACATTTGGAAATACTGTTGGTCGACCATGCTGGGGGGCGGGGAGGGGAGCTACTGGCCTCCAGTGGGTGGAGGCCAGGGATGTGGCTGAACATTCCAAACACACAGCCAACCCACCCATGACAAAGAATGATCCGGCCCCAAATGGCAATAGCAAACAGGTGGAAAATGCTGGTCTGTGTGTTTGCAAGGACCCAGCCAATTTGGGAGATGTACACCCCAAACTAATTTCAGGGGGATACATGAGATGGAGATTGGATTGGAGGAGATCATCAAAACCTTACTTGTCAAGGTTTATTTCTCTCCTTCTCTCTCTTTACAAACAGGGTATACTCATGTATTATCTGTGTAACTAAAAATTACATTAAAAATAAAAAACAGCCACAACAAAAAGATACCAAATGTATCCAAACCAACCAAAGAAACAGAACTCTTTCTCTGACCCTTATCTCTGCCTCCAGATACCCTATTTCTCCTTCCTTCCTATCACTGCCAGACCCCCCGGGGTCTTCACCTCCTCTCCCCTGCCTCCCCCACCCACCCCAGTCTGGCTTCCAGTGCCAGTCCCCTGCAGCTCACCCAGACCACAGCTGTCTCTGGGTTGTTACTAAATCCAGTGAAACTTGTTATCATAGTTGACCTGTTTTTGAAACTGCAGGGAGGAACTGTGCTATCTCCCTGACCTCCTGGAGCCTGTCTCCTCTGGCTGCCGCCCAGGACCTTTCCAAATTCCTTTCCTTCTTGCTATCCCTTCAATGTCACCGTTCTCAGACGCTTTGTCCCAGGCCTCTTCTCTTGCTGCATTTCCATCCAGGAATCACCTACACAATCAGTTGGGGTGTGTTACAAGTGAAAATGTAGCGTCCCTTGTTCACCCATCATTAACAATTTCAAGATGGTCACAGTAAATCATTAAACCAAGTGCAGAGCCTTTTGGAGCAGGGGGCCCCAAGGGACTGGGCAGGTCAGTTGCCCACAAGGCCGGCCAGGCTTCCAACTCTCCTGGCTTTAATCCCCAGCCTGTCTCATTGGTCTGCTCCCCCTGACCCCATGTTGTGCACCTTGGTTTTGGCTCCACAATTGCCCAAGACCTACTCTCTGAGGGTTGTGGGGTAGACAGAATGCACCTCTAAAGATGTCCATGAATGCCTGAAACATATAACTATGTTGATCACATAGCAAAGGGACTTTGCAGATAGGATTAAAATATCTTGCAGACCTTAAAATAGATTCTCCTGGTGTGGTGGTGAATCTTACTTGGCCCAGCTACAGGGTCCGTTTATTGACTTAAACACCAACCCAATTGTTGCTGGTGGAAGCATTTCTTAGATGTGGTTGATACCTACAATCACTTGATTCTAACTAAAGGAGATTACACTTGAGAGCATGGGTGGGCCTCATCCAATCAGTTGAGTAAAACAAAGGTTTTTCTGGGGAAGAAGAAATTCTGCTTCAAGACTGCAGCATCTGCTCCTGCCCGATAGAGTTTCCACACTGCCCTATGGATTTGTGGCTAGCCAGCCCCTACAAGCACAGAATCCAATTATGTATGTAATATACATAATTTATATATATATATATATATGAATGACCAGGGATATGTAGATATGTATTACTTGGTAATCGATAAAAATTAGTATTTTTATATATCTTAACTATATAGGTATCCTAATTATATATTTTAATAATACATATGTCTTTTTTTTAAAAGATTTTTTTTTATTTATTTGACCAACATATCACAATTAGGCAGAAAGGCAGGCAGAGAGAAACAGGAGGAGGAGGCAGGCTCCCTGCTGAGCAGAGAGCCCAATGCGGGACTCGATCCCAGGACCCTGAGATCATGACCTGAGCCGAAGGCAGAGGCTTTAACCACTGAGCCACCCAGGCGCCCCAATAATACATATGTCTTAATACGTGTATGTATATACACTTAGAGTAAGTTCTGGTTCCCTGGAGAACCCTGATCGGTACACCTGTGTTACCCAGGTGGGCCCAATCTAATCACATGTGCCCTTAAAAGCAAAGAACTCTCTCTGGCTAGAGGCAGGAGGGAAATGGAGCAGAATGGGAAGTCAGAAGGATCTGACTCACCGCCAGCAGGGGCGAGTAGCACCGAAAGCACCAGAGGGACGCAGGCAGCTTCCACACACCAGCCCCCAGCTGGGCCAGCAGAAGCAAGGGACCACAGGCCTATGGCCACAAGGAACTGAATTCACCCAATGCCCCCAAAGAGCTTGGAAGAGGGTTGTTCCAAGTAAAGGGCACAGCCCTGCTGATATCTTGACTTTAGCCCCGGCAGACCTAATGTCCCACCCAGACTCTGACCTGCAGAAACTGTGGCATAAAAAATGTGGGTGGTTGTCAACCACACGGGCTGTGGAGATTCCTTACACCAGCAATGGGAAACCAATCCTCTCATCCTTGGCTCCTCCTTCTCCAGGAAATCCTGTCTGTCCTGGCTCTCAAGTCCAAGTAAGCCGACCTGAATCCCTTCTGTTTGCACCTTCCTCTCTATCCCTGTGGCCCCTGCTCCAACTTAGGCCCCTCCCCAGGATCCCTACACCCAGTCTCACAGCCTCCCGGCCAGGGCCAGGAAGAAGGGTAGGAGGGTGATGCAAAAAAAAAAAAAAATAATAATAATAATAAAATAAAATTAAAGCAACATCAATGAGTCAGTAACAAAGATTGACAACAATATGACACAACAAATGAGTAAATACAACAAAAAGAATTACTAACCCATCCATGATGAACAAAACATCAAAAATTTAAATGAAGATGCCATTAGTGTGACGGATTTTTCCTTTATGTCCCCAGCAATCCAATAAAGTTTATCACAACCCTGATCCTGTCTTTATCTGAAGTTTCTTTTTAAGATTAAAAAGATTAAGATTAAAATAAATAAATTGTTAAGATTTATTAAAAGTTATTGAAATAAAATTAAGATTAAAATAAATAAATTTATCTATTTATTTTATTTGAGAGAGAGCACAGAGGGAGAGGTGGGGAAGCAGACTCCCCACTGAGCAGGGAGCCCCACACGGGGCTCCATCCCTGGACTCCACGATTATGACCTGAGCTGAAGGCAGACGCTTAACCAACTGAGCCACCCAGGCACCCTGTTTATTTGAAGTTTTTGATTTTTTTTTTTTGTTCATTATGGATTTTTCCTGCATCCATCCTTAAAATAGTGCATTAAAAATCTTATTTACCCTAAACAAGATGTGGTCTATGCATGTCATGGAATATTATTGGGCCATGAAAACCATGAAACACCGACCGTGCTATGATGTGGGTGAACCTGGAGGACGTCACACTCAGTGAGAGACGCCAAACACGGAAGGCCACATATCTAGGATTCCATGTATACGAAACATTCAGAACAAGCAAACCCACGGAGCTGGAAGGCAGAGTGGGGGCTGTCAGGAGCAGGGGGAGGGGAAAGAGGGACGAACTGGTTATGAGTAAGGGGCTTCCTCTGGGTGGGGGGAGGGGGGATGCAAATGTTTGGGAGCTAGATAGAGGTGTGGTTGCACAGCACTGGAGATGTACCAAACCCCGCTTTTAAATGGTTCCTTTTATGTTATGTGACTTTAACCTCCGTAAAAATAGTTAACAAAAATCTGTATTTAAATATATTATTTATCTTGGTTACTGAGTTTTCTGTAATTCCCCTCCTCTCCCAACACACACCCTTTACATTTTGCTCTGGGTTTGAACTGCAGCCTCGCTCCCATCAGTCCATCCCACTCGTGAATCCCAGAAGGAACTTTCTAGCACCGGTATCTGACCCTGTTATCCTGTCCCTTACCCTGCCTGATTCAGCACGCCACAGCCTCCAGTGGCTTTTGAGCTGACCTCTCCAGGCAAAAAGAACTCCACCTTAGAGACCTCAGAGACGTTAGTGCCCTTTGCTCCGCCCCGCCTCCCAGCCTGCTCCCGGCTTTCTTCCTTCCGCCCTCTAGCCTGCCACTTCTTGGAGTTTGTGTTCAAGCTGCACTCCTTGGGATCTGTGAAACTGACTCTCTTCGGCCGCCCCACAGCCCCAGCCCCAGCCCCGCCCTCGCCCCCCACCGAGTCTCCGCCCTGGGCCTCCATCTCCACACTGCTCCTCCCAGCCAGCCTCCGCCCTGGGGACTCTGCTCTCCTCCCAAGGAAAGCGCTCCCTCGCTCTGGCCTGGGACCCATCTTCCCAACACTCAGATCTGAGACTCTCTTGTCATCAAAAGACACAGGCGCTGGGAGTCCTGTAATGACCTTTCTACCAGCCACTTTGGGCAGGGATGTTCATCCAGGAAACCCTCCAAAGCAGGGTTAGAGCTGCCTCCTGACCCCACCCCAACACTACCTCCATCCTCTTGAGGACTCAGGGACCTTGTCTGTTTCGTTATCTCTCTTAAACTCTCTCTGTCTCTCTTTCTCCCTCCCTCTCTTCCATCCTCCCTCTACACTCTCTCCTCCAACTGCTGCAATCTGGAAGAAATTACTCTTCTAAACAACCAGACTTCCCCAGCTTCAGGAAATTCCAAGCTGGGCAGGGGGAGGGGCCAGGCTGGGGGCGCGCCCTGGCCATCCCCCACCCCTCTGCGTGTCCTCTGTGCACACCCAGTCGGGCCTCTCACCGCCCCCACACTCTACCCTCTGCCCGGAGGCCTCAGCTTTTCCACCACCGCTTTGGAGTCCTTTAAATCCTAGAGGCAAACTTTGGGGGGGGGGGGGGGTAGGAATCAGGAAGGCTGGGAGGGGCCTGTGACTTAACCCTCTCTGCCCCAGACGGACTGAGCTGGCCTGGACGGTGACTCCGCAGCCTGTTTGGGTTCCTACTATGGCCCCCGAGAGGGGCTGACACCTCGGTCCCCGGTGCAGGTAAAGAAGGGACCCGGTGCCAGGGGCTGCCAGGGGTAGGGCTCGGACTCCTGGGTCTGAGGCCTGGACCCCAGGGCCTGAAGGAGGGGGGCTTGGGACTCCTGGGTCTGAGGAGTAAGAAAGGTAGGAGGCAGGACTCCTGGGACCTGAGAGAGGAGAGGTCCTGAGGGGGCACTGTGGACCCGAACGCCTGGGTCCTGGACACCTGCCCCATCCCCCACTCCGGGGTCCGCATGACGCTTCCTTTGCCAGGTGAGAACCGTCGGGAGGAAGAAGGAAGAAGGCGCGGGCCTGGACCTCGAAAAGGAGAGCGGGTCCCCCAGCCTGAGCCTGAGAGCGCGCCTGCCCCTCTCAGCGAGGACCAAGAGGTAAGGGGTCGCGGGGAGCCGGGCCTCGGGGTCCCAGGTCAGGTCCGGAGGGACGCGGGACAGACGGGCAAAGGGGGCGCGGGCGCTCAAGTCAGGGCGGCAGCCACGTGGCCCGAGCAAGCGCGGCGAGCCCACGGGGCGGGGGGTCTCCCATTCCCGGGCCTGGCCCCTCCCGCCTCGCTGCCTACCCCCGGACCCGAGAACCGGTCGGGCAGGGCGTGGAGCAGGCGGTTATTTCCGTCTCGGCGGGGCTGGGGCCAGAGAGGACAGAGGTGAACCAGCTGTGCCCTCCACTCCCGCAGCTGGAGCGGTGGGCCTGCTGAGAGGGAGGCTGGAAGGGGGCGGCAGGAGGGCGGCTGCGCGGAGCCTCTAGTCGCGGGGCCCGGGCCCCTCGGGGTCCCAACCTCGCTCCTGCACGCTCTGCCTCTTGCGCGTTTGTGGCGAACAACAAACAGCCCTCTGTGGGAGCCCTGGGTGGCTGACGGCTTTTTTTCCTAGCATGACCTCATTGCTTCAAGCACACAACTCTGCTTGAGGGAGGTTGGAGCCTTTTATTTAAGAGGACCCTGACGCTGGAGGCTCCGAAAAGTGGAGTGACTTGCCCGACGCCCTCAGAGCTAGCAAGAAGAGGTCTTACTCGGAAAGGATTTCTAACTCATTATTCTCTGTCTGGGATGGAAAAAGAGGAAAAGAAAGGCAAATAAACATAGTCAGGGGTGTAGAAAATCCCTGGCCTTTAAAGCATATGGAAACATTGTTTCCATGGGGATGCACACCCACCCATCCTATCCGTGGGGGGCTATGAGCAATAGGATATCATCTTCAGACTCTCCTCAGGTTTAGTGTCTCTGCCTGGTTTCCAAATCCAGCCCCTAACATTTGTTGCTGTGTGACCCTGGGCAACTTACTCCACCTCTACACCTTGGCCACCACCTTTGTAGAGCTCATGGAGCTGTTCTGAGGATTGAGTGAGTTTGTTTGAGTAACACACTTGGGTTCCCGCTTAGGAAATATAACATCAGCACCGTGAATATACTTCACAAAACCCCTAGCAAAGAGGCACTCTGATTTCTGTTTTTCAGTGGACTAAACTGAGGCTTAAGGTTGAGGAAGTAAGTTCAGGTTCCCACAGAAAGGAAATGACAGGTGTGTTTGGCCAGGAACTGGAAAATGGTAGTGGTGTTGGCTGATAGGACAACAGAGCGTTGGGATGAGGGACCAAGTAGGGCATGGGCAGGGAGAAGAGCCAGTGGCAGAGAGCTGTCTGGGGAGGGGTCCGTTCAAGGGGCAGCAGGGGGTGGAAGTGGTAAGTCTGGGCTCTGGAGTCCCGCAGAGCTGGCTTTGTGACCTTGGGCAAGTCACATACCCTCTCTGAGTGTGTCCTTCTCTGGGACATGGGAGAATGATCCCAGATGGCTACTGAGCATTTCATTGAACTTTGACTGTGTCCTGAGCTCTGCCAAGACTTTGCTGGCAACATCCCACCAATCTTGCAAGGAGACTACGAAGTTTTATAGGAACATCCTATATTCCTATGTTCCATTTTTGAGAAGAGGAAATGAGGTCAAAAATGCCCAAAACCAGACACACACACACACAGCCAGATGGAAACCAAGGCATTTGTCTGAGTTGTGCGCTCTTTCCCCCCACAACTCACTGCAGAGTAAGGACAGCCACCGCTAGCGTGGGGAGAAGTTTTTTGTTGTCATCGCTATTTGGTTTTTTAAAACTGTGGATCGAGATTTATTACTGAGCAGAGGTAAGCATTTTAAAAAAATAAAATAGATTAGAATCGAAAATATCTGAGTGCCTAGCATGTTGTAAGTCTTGTTTCATAAAATGTTTGTTTTCCTTGGGGGTGGTGTGGGGAGGAGAGGCGATGGCGTGCCCCGTTGCAATTAAAATATATTTATTCATCTAGGCAGAGGTCAGAGAAGTTTGAGAAACACTACAGAGGTGGTAAATCGAGACTGGTTTTCCCAGAGAAATAAATGGTGTGTGTGTGTGTGTGTGTGTGTGTCTTTACAGGGCGGTCCTCAGAACACATCCAGCTATAATTACTTTAAATCCTCTTAGCTTTCATTTTTCTCTGCATTATCACTGATATTTCCTGGGGTGATAGTTACTAAAAGAATAATGGTGGCTGCTTTGACTGATTCATAGGATTTTACCAAGTCTTGTTCTACAGTTATATGAGGACACCTCTCCCCCCCAGCACTAGAATTACTAATTAGCTGGCACTATTACAAATATAATTTTCTCTAATTGAGATTTTTCTATGTGCCCCGCAAGGAAGGTAGTGTTATTTTATCCCATTTACAGAGAGGAAACATAGAGAAATCACATAATTTATCCCAATCATACAGCTGGCAAACCAAGGGTGGGGCTTTGATTCAAACCAAGTTATTATTATTATTAGGACAACAGTGATTGTTAAAACAAAAGTACAGGGTCACCAAAGGCCTTCCCAGAAGTTCCATAAAAACAACCAGGTTCCAGGATATAGGCAAAGGTTGGCAATTTACCGTATTTACCGTAGAATCCAGGGCAGCAATGAGGCAACAGCGAACCGAGTTCATACGGTACTAGCTGCCAGTTTCAAATTTACGCCATTCTTGCTATTTTTAGAGAAACTTGTGAAAATGTAAGACATTATATTATCTCTTTCAAAATCAAATAACTCGAATTACAAAATGCTGTGCAAGTATATAGATCCCCGGGCCCACCCTGAACCTGAATTTGAGGTTTTAGGCTGACCTGCATTACGACCTGTGCCCTAGGCAAAGCTTCCGTGCATCCGTATTTATTTATCTTTTACAGCTGTGCTGGTGTAAAGACAGATTGGCTGACATCTGTCATTTTAAAGTAAAGCATGGTAACATTTTCTGGAGCCTCTAGAAGTGGGGGTGGGGGGCGCTAGGCACGGTGCCTGGGGCACTTGGTGGACAAAGTCAGCCCTGTCTTCAGGGAAGGGCCCGGGCAATCTCGGCCTCGGAGAAGCTGCAGTTCCTCTGCCAAGCTTAGGAAACGCTCAGATTTGGAGATGCATGTTGCCTGTGGGAAGACGGGAATATTCGTTTAGTGGAATCAGCCTGGCGCGGTGGCCACGGGCAGACCTGACCTGTCATTTGGGAGAGCGTCCTCTGAACCGCTGCCTAGGCCCAGGGTGGGGACGAGGGCTGCGGGGGGGGGGGGGCTCCCGCCGGCGGTGGCAGCGCTGACCCGCTCTTACCCCCCACCCCCACCCCTCAGATGCCGGTGCTGAAGCAGCTGGGCCCCGCGCAGCCCAAGAAGCGGCCTGAGCGCGGCGCCCTGTCCATCTCCGCGCCGCTCGGCGACTTCCGGCACACGCTGCACGTGGGGCGCGGCGGCGACGCCTTCGGGGACACTTCGTTCCTGAGCCGTCACGGCGGGGGGCCGCCCCCCGAGCCCCGAGCGCCCCCCGCCGGGGCCCCGCGCTCCGCGCCGCCGCCCGCTGTGCCGCAGCCCCCGCCGCCTGCCCTCCGCGCGCCCGCGCCCGCCGACCCGCTGCTGTCCTTCCACCTGGATTTGGGGCCCTCCATGCTGGACGCGGTGCTGGGCGTCATGGACGCGGAGCGCCCGGGGGCCGCTGCCGCCAAGCCCGATTTGGACCCCAGCACCGGGGCACAGCACCCCAGGGCCCACTGCCGCTCCAACGCGGACCTCGAGCTGGACGACGTCATCGGCCTGTAGGCACCCGCGTTCCCGATGCGTTTACGGTCCGGCATCCCACTTCTTTATACATAAACGGCTAAGGTCTCTGCGCGAGTTCGGTCTCTTCACTTTGCACGTGGGAGGGGAAGGCCGGAGGGGTGGGCAAGGGGGGTCGGTGATGGGTCCTGGCCCCTTTAAAGGCCAGGTGTGTCACCTGTGGCTCGGTTCCGCGCAGAGACTTAACCGAGGTCGAGATCGGACGGCTGGCCTGGAGTGGTGGGATGTGGCCCCTTTAACTCCGGGGGCCGTGAGTACACGGTGCCCCTTTCGGAGGCGGCGTCCCAACGTGGCCGCTCTGACAGCCGCATTCACTCATCAACTTTGACGGAGCCTGGCCCTCCAGACCAGCTCAGGGCGCGGCCTGACTCGCTCCAGGGGACCCTCTGTCTCGTCCCGCAGGGGCCACCTAACTTGCTCCCGGGGACCCGGCCTGACTCGCTCCCGGAGGCCCGGCCTGACTCGCTCCCGGGGGCCGAGTGCAGTGGCTCCGTGAGACTGACTCCTGGCCCGCCTCTCCAGTGAACCCCTCCGGGAGACCCGCCCTTTACCCGGTAAGTGGCAGCTGAGTAAAGTGGCTGGAAGAGGCAGGGTTCCGGTGGAGCAGACAACTACCCCCTCGGAAAGATGCCTCGGCCCGAGGGGGACAGCGGTGTCCCAAGTCTGGGAAACCTAGTTTGAGCCTGCTGGGTACAGTTGTCCCGTAGAGGGAATGACCCACAAGGGGCGGAAGGCGGGGCAGCACGTGCAAATCTTTAGGCGAGGGGAGGAATCCAGGCCCCAGAGGGCCCCCGAGGGGGTGGGGGCTCCCATTCACAGCCCTAGGCGAGGGCGGAGCCAGCCTGGTGAAGAACCTGGAGGAGGCGAGACCGTACCCGCAGAGCGTCGCCGAGGGCGGGCTGAGAGGGCGTGGTCGCACTGTAAACTTAGTGGACAAAGGCCGCGGAGGGGGACAGGTCCGGCTCCTCGAGGGCACTGGGGGAGGAGGTCACTCTGCGGGCCGTGCCCAGCCTTGAAATCCTTTGGACGCGAGGAGGACCACACGCGAGCATCGCGGGGCCTCGCAGGCAGCGGTCAGGCTCCCCGAGGACACCGCCCTCGCAGGGCCGTCTGCCAGGCCCGGGATCCGAGGCCCCGCGAGAGCGCGTGCGCGGTTCCCAGGGCAGCGGGGACGGGGCGCGGCCGGTGACCTCCCGGCGAGACTCCCCCGCACCCCACTCCCATGGCGGCGGTCCCCGCAGCCGAGCCCGCACCGCCGCCGGCCTGCCGCTTCTTCCTGGAGGGCCGCTGCCGCTTCGGCGCCCGCTGCCGCCAGCCCCACCCAGGGGCGCCCGCGCCGCCTAGCCGCGGGACCGGGAGCGAGGCCGGGAACGAGACCGGGGCCAAGAAGCCGCCGCTGCGCACGGCCGCGGCCGTCATCCAGCGCATCCGCTGGGACCCGCGCCTCGACCCGGCCGACTTCGCGGTGGGCTACGCCGACCGCTTCCTGGGCGTGCGCGAGGAGCCCTTCGCCGCCTTCTGCTGGGACGAGCCGCTGGCGGCGCTGGGGCCCGGCGTCCTGGCCGTGCCGGAGCACCGGGTGCGCTACTTCCGCTTCCGCGGCCGTGTCGTGTGGGACCGCGCGTCGCGCACCGACCTCGTCTTCGGCTCGGGCTCGGCGGCGGGCCGTGGGCCCACCATCCTGGACGCGCTCGGCGGCGAGGACGAGCGTTGCGGGCGCGCGCACGACAGCCGTGAGGATGCCCGCGATGGCGGCGAGGACGCGCACGGCGACATTGAGGACGCCCAGGACGGCGGGAGCGCGCACGAAGGGGCAGCTGCCACTCCCGCTGACACCAGAACAGAACGCCAAGCCCCCGACTGCACTGGGCTGGAGGCCAGGGAGCGGCGCAGGGCCAAAGGCCAGGCTGCCCCGCGGACAGAGCTGGAAAGGGCGCTGACGCCGGCCACCGCGGAGCCACGGGATGGAGAAGCACAGACAGCTTTAGGACGGCCCCCTGCAGGTTTTCCTGAGACGGAAGTGGAGTGGGGTCCTGGCGCTTGGCCCTCGGAAGGTGGAGAGGCCGCTGGAGCCCGGGCCACGGAGCCTCGCCAGCCCCATCCCACGCATTTTGTGGCTCTCATGGTAACTGATCCTGGGCTGCAGGCTGGGGTGGCCAAAGCCCAGGAAGAGCTGGTTCAAGCTGCACCCTCGTGCGCTGCGTTCCTGGTGCCCGCAGGGGCCCTCCACCTGACACTGGCCCTCCTGAGGCTCACAGGCCCTGGGGAGGTAGCCGCCGCAGTGGGCGCACTCAGACGTGCGCTCTTGGCCCCGGGACTTCAGGCACCCCCGCAGCTGACTTTTAGGAGCCTGCTTCTCCTGGGGCAGCATGTGCTCTGTGCCCCACCTTCCCCCTCTCTGCAAGCTATGGCCCAAGTGCTGAGTCAGAGGCTGGAAGCTGAGGGGCTCAGAGTAGTAGGGCCCCAAGGGGGGCTGCACCCCCACCTCACACTAGCCAAGGTGCCCCACGGTTCTCAAGTCAGCCTCCCTGAACCTGGGTTCAGCCCAACGCAGGAGCTGGGAAGCCAGGCCCTAGGGGAAGTCTGGCTGTGCCGCATAGGCAGGGCAGGGGACACCTACCAGCCCCTGGCTGAGCTGCCCCTGGGGTGATGGTCCCCTCCAACGTCTCCAGGAGACCACTCTCGACCGGGAGAACCTGGAAAGATCCCGCCCAAGCAGGAAAGGACAAAGTGCTCTCTCTCTCTCTCTCTTTAATTTTGGTTTCTCTCAAGCTTCCAAATGGTGCTCAGTGATCCAAGGAAAGAATGAAGGAAGGAGAAGGGAGGGGAGAGGGAAGGGAGGGGAGGCAGAGGAGGAACATCTGGAAAAAAAGCAGCCTGACAGTCCAGCTGTTTGCAAACTCATCGCACATCCTCCAGTTACATGGCAGAAGAGGGGGGAGGACCAAAAAGAAAAAGGGGAGGAAGAAAAATAACTTAAATAAACACACACAAAAAGAAAAGAGAAGGAAACATGACGTGAGCTGGTGATCCATGGAGGCAGGGAGGGAGGGAGGGTAACCGCTTTACCTGTGCTGAACCAAAGAAGGGTGGGGGGCAGGAGGAGGAGGGAGGGAAGGAAAACAAACCAGAAGAAACACTGGGGTGGAGGGAGGAGGGGGCCACGGAGACGACACAAGTGCAGCTGAGGTGGCCCAGCCAGGGTCCCGCGGCGGCCTCCGGGGTCCTCGGCGCGCAGTGTCGGCGTGGCTGCGGTGGTGGCCTGGCGACAGCACTGCTGGCGTGGGGGGCTGAGGGCGAGGCACAGTCTCTACACGGCTCCCCGAGCCCCGGACACTGAGGCCCCTGAGGGCTGTGCAACAAGAGTCTGTGGTGAGGCGGCGGGCGGCGGTGCTGGTGCCCCCGCCGCGGGCGGGCACAGGCGGCGTGGCCAGTCTTCTTCCGGCCCCCCCGGCATGGGATGGGCCGGGCTGCCAGGTCGGTACCGGAGTACAAGCTCGAGAGAGAGAGAGAAAAAACACTGAGACAGCATTAGTGGGGGTGCCGGGAGGACCGAGCAGCCTACAGACCACGCCCCCAACCCTCCGCTGTCCCGCCCCTTCCTCCCCCAACCCCTCCCTCGGAGGCAAAAAATAAAAATGTAGAAAAAATCTCTGTACAGACTCCCCGGTGGGCAAACGGGGACGGGATGGTGGCTCTTCCTGGAGCCCACTCCCCACGAATTAATTTACAACCCAAGTCCATGGCTCAAAAACAAAATCGGCAAAGGTGGCGCTGGGGGGCCACAGCCCTGCCCCACCCCGCCCCCATCCGCGCTGGTGCTCAGAAGGCTGACAGCTGCGCCAGGCTGAGGCGGCAGTCGATGCTGGCGTTGTCCGGGCCCGTGTATGCCAGGCCCAGGGGCTCGAGGAAGGCCCGGCAGGCGGCCTCGCCCTCGAAGGCCAGCTCGGCCTGCAGGTAGGAGACTGGCAGCGCAGGGCGGAAGCTACGGAGACAAGAGGAGAATGTGATGAGGCGGGCGGTGGGCAGGGGAGGGCCCCACAAGCAGGGAGTGGGCGCCCCCCCTTCAGGCACCCAAAGGGTTTCCTCAGCACATTACCTGCTGACCTCTCACCCCTCCCCACCCAACCTCCCCACCTCCAGGGGCTTGGGGGGGCCCGGGGTGGGGCTGGTGGCCCCAGCCCCGGCTGTGCCCCCCTTTACCCTCACTTACCTGTACATGGGGACCAAGGAGAGGGGATGGGAGGGAAGGGCCCTGCTGGCTCCTCCACTGCTCAAGGGCCTGAGCAGTCCCTCAGAAGAGGGCCCACCGTGGCCCAAGGGCAGGGGGGCAGGCAGAGGGGGTGACCCGAGGGGATGGGCATGGGCATGGGTTGGCAGGTCTGATAGCTAGCTACTCTGGGGTATCCGCCCTGGCTATCTGCCCTGCCTGGGTCACAGTGCCTTGGGAATGCCAAGCACAGGGTCAGCCAACACGTATTACATGCTGGTGACGTCACGTGCAGGTGCCAACAAAACGGCGCATACCAGAAAACAGCTGTGAACTTGCCGAATTCTCTCCCCAAAACCGTGTCGCCCTACCCTTTAGAAACAAGCGCTGAGCAAACTGTAGCTCCAAAGGCAGAGCCACCCGGCCAGCGTCAACACAGGAAGGACACAGTAAAAAAGACACGAACCAGTCCCGCCTCAAGTCCGTGCCACATCACGGCTCTGGGATTTACAGGGGGGGGGCACACACAAGAGAGCCTCTTTCTCCCCACAACGGAGCTGGCATTCTCGCCACACTGCAGGGACCTGGTCTGGGGCCTCTGGGAGGGAGGGGATGAGAGCAGGTGGCCAGTCTAGGCCAAGGCCCCTCCTACAAGGAACCTTCACGGCTATGGCCCCAACCAAGACGCAGCACACGTAAACTAGCCAGAACAGTGACCCGCCCACACGACACCCCTGGGAGCGGCTGTCCCACCGCAGAAGGCAGACCCACAGGGCCTTGAGACACACCACCTCCCTGTCATTCCTGGGTAGGTAACCAGGTCCTGTGTATGCTGCTGCCTTCGTGTTTCTGTCCCACATCCCTGTCTACTTCTACGGCCCCTGCCCTAGCTCAGCCTCTGCCTTAAATCTTCAGACCAAAGCAGACCCTGCAGTGTGTGCATCTCCTAACTTCAGGGGACTGTCCCTCTCCAATTCCACACCATTCCTGGGGCTCCTGAGCTAACTGATGCGGCCCCTTGGACCTCGGCAAGGTCCTTGGTGAGATGGACAGCGGGGCCAGGGGGTTCTCTGTCGTGGGGTGTCCTGGGCCCTACGGGAGGCTGAGCAGCGTCCCTGGCCTCCACCCACTAGACACCAGTAGCAACGCCTAGCTGTGTCACCTGAGCGCACCTCACTGCCCTGAGAACCACGGAATCCCCACCACACGCACACACGCACACACACGCGCTTGATACAGGACACCTAACACACCTAGAACTTGCTCTTCTGACCTGCAGATAGTCTGTGATCTGACATGCCCCCGCGTCACCCGTCTCCCTATACATTTTCTGCACCCTTGAAGGAGCTCAAGTCTGAATGGGGTGCTGGGGCCCATTAGATCAGAAGCTACCAAGAGAACGGCCATCTTTTCTAGTTTGTCTCTACCGAGTGGGAGCTCAGTATCAGCAAAAGCCTTGAAAAGTGAACAAAGACCTCGGAGCGAGGAAACCCAAGAGCCCAGAGCAAGAACAGAAACCAAGGTCCAGGGTGATGGGAGCAGGAGAGAGAGACTCAGGTGGAGAGGGAGCCCTGGAGCCGCGAGACAGAATGGGGAAAAAAGGAGATGCAGAGGCGGGCCCAGGAGACAGAGAGCCAACTGCGGAAAGAGAAGCAGGAGGAGCGGGGGAACAGGGTACGCGTAGAAAGAAGACACAGGGAGAGAGGACCAGCGTCCAGGGCACAGGAGCTGGAGGCCTGACAGCCCAGAAGTGTGCAAAACGGGAGGGGGAGGAGGAAGGCGGCGGCAGGGCCGGCAGAGCAGAGGGGGTGGGGGAGAACCCAGCTTCACATACGTTTTGATCATCGCCTTGAGGGCAGCTTTGCGCTCCCGGTCTGCAAACTTGTCCACCAGGTACCCAGACATGCAGGGCGCATGACAGTAGAGCCGGAAGAAGCGGTGGTAGTTGCCCAGAGCCCAGGCCGCCCTCAGTGCCAAGGCATGAGCCACACAAGGGTCTGCCTTCAGTTCCCGAGTCAGGTACGCCAGCTCCGTGGTGATGTCTGCGGCCCAAGACAAACGAGGATCAGCAGCGCCCCACCCCGGGGGCTTGGGGCCACCCCATCCCGCAGGCAGCGCCTCTCACCTCCTGAATTCTTGGTGAAGATGTAGTAGAGGATGCGGTAGGCAGTGAACTCGCCCACGTTGCCTGGCAGGTTCTCGGCGTACAGCGACTTGAGCTGCGTCTGGCACTGGTTGAACTCCTCATGGTCGCCCTAGAGCCCGGGGCCGGAGGGAGAGAAAGACCATGAGGCCGGGACGGGGAGCCTGGGAAGAACCCGGAGGGCCTCGGCACCCCACCCACCTTCTCCAAGGCGATGCGGGCGTGCGTCTCGTACACCTCCACCGTGAACTCTGTCCGCACCCCTTGCACCTGGAACGGCAGGAGAACGGTGAAGGCCACCGCGGGCGGGCGGGACTCTCCCAGCCCAGGTCCCCCCGGCGCCCCTCACCGTCAGGTCCTGCCGAATAGACTTCATCTGCTCGCAGGCAAAGGCGTAGTCCTGCTTCTCTTTCCAGTGGGACTTGACCATGCACAGAGACTTCTTCAAAACCTGGGAAGGGAACATGTTACGGCTCAGTGAGATTCCAGCCAGGTGAGCAAAGCCGTCACTAACACCCAGTACGCTTCCACCCACGCCGCGTTCCGAAATGACAGCTGTGACCTCACACCCGTGTAATAACCCACTAGCAACTTTAAGAAGAACACAACGCGTTTGGCAAGGGTAACTACTCCCGACCCCAGCTGCCTCAGCACGTCCCCTGGCATGGAATGCGGACACGCCGCTACTGCGGCCTCAGGAGGGCTCAGGAGCCTGATCACCCCCACCTCAGGAACGCCGGCCTGGGAAGGTCGCTTTCTTAGGAGACAGAGGCTCAAAGCCCAGCAAGTCTCCCGATGAAGCCACAGGACCCAGACTTCTCAGTCTCCGAAACTCAAGTTCAGTTTTTAAGCCACCCCTCTGCGAGCTCCCAGGCCCCAACGTCCCCACCCAGCCGCAGGCCCCTGCCACCACCCCACAGCCTCCGTGTGGTCTCTGCCATCTTTCCAGGGTGGGCGCGCCGGCCTGGCACCCTGCAGGGAGGCCCTGCCCGTCCCAGGCGCTTACTGCCACCGGGCGCACAGTGGACGGGTCGGGGGCACAGGTGAGACGCAGGTAGTGCTTGGTGATGTCAGGGCAGGTGCCCACGATCTGAAGCTCCTGCCAGTCTGGGTCAGCACCGCTGCTCTCCAGGCTGCCCATCTGCAGCACCAGGGGCTCGAGGCGCAGGCGGCGCGAATGTCCGTGCTGGAAGCGGGCCGCCCGCTTCTGCTTCTTCAGCTCACGCTCAGGGTCCTCGCACTCGAGCGCAGCCATCTTTTTGCGGCTGCGCTTGGTGGGAGCAAGATCATGCCTAGGAAGGGAGGGCAGGGGTGAACAAGGCAGATGTCCTAGCCTGCCCCTCCAGCTACACCCCAAGATCCCAATCTTAGCCCTACCCCCCTAC